CGACTGCAGAATTTTTATAGTGCAGCCACAAGACAGAAAAGTTACAATGAAAGGTGCTGTTGCATGACTATAACATGGGGAAGTACTTATAAAACATTAAGTTCAAAAGTCAGGATATGAAAATACATAAAATATAAGTTTGACTATGAAAGAGCAAAGATAGAAAGATACACAGAGAAAAAGGAAGGGAAAAAAGTAACCTAGAAAGAAGTTCTCCACAAATTTATCAGTATTTATCTCTACGGAAAAGGAGAAGAACACTTTTAATGTTCTTTTTTCTTTTCAATATCTTTAGATTCTCTGGCATGAAATTGCATCATTTTGTTTTGTTTTGCGAGACAGGGTTTCTCTGTGTAGCTTTGCATCTTTCTTAGAACTCACTCTATAGCCTCGAACTCACAGAGATCCTCCTGCCTCTGCCTCCCCAGTGCTGGGATTAAAGGCATACGCCACCACCGCTTGGCTAAATTGCATCATTTTTAAACAAAACAAAAACCTTAAAGAAAAAGTAACTTTCATCAAAGTACAGACAATGTAGTTGAAGAAAAACCTTATAAAGATATGATTTAAAGTGAAAAGGATTCCCTACCCAGACAGAAGCCCGAGAGAAAAACATGAGGATCAGTATGATGATGAAATACCAAAGCAGGAAACTTCCTATTGTCCCACAAGAGTCATCTTTCCGGCACTCAGCATCCTGACTCGGAATGGTAAAACTGAGGGGTCTGGGAGGGGGGTCCACCCCCCAGAATAAAGACAAAAGGTCTCCCATGATAGCTTCTGGCTTAGAAAATAAAACATGCTCAAAGGGCTAAAGGTGACTGGGAACGATTTCCCTCCATGGCCTATGACAACTTCCCTGGCAACCTATTATGACATATACCTAAGCAACTGTTGCAAGAACTGATAAATATCCTTGGATTAGATGGGCACGTTTATCTAGATGACATCTTCAATAGTGTATGGCAATTTCCTGAATTTCTCAGTGTACTTTCTTCTGCCTAGAAACTTCCAAACTTACATAATGTCTGTTTTCATCCGTTCAAGTATTTAAGGTATTGTTTTTTTTTTTAATCAGACTCTACCTTTTTTTTTTAATGTGTACCATACCATTGTAAATTAACACACAATTCTAATGTATTACAGGCTGCATTGTGTGTTCCCTAAGACTTGAATGTTGACGTCTTCAGCGCCATCTTGTATTTGGAGATAAGGCAGAACAGAGGTAGTACAGACGTGAAATGAGATGGCTCAGTGGGTAAAGGTATTTGATGCCAAGACTTTTGACCGGAGTTCAATCCCCTGAGACCTGCATGACGAAAGGAGACAACTGACTCCCTCAAGCTGTATTCTGACCTCCCTGTGTTCACTGTGACATTTGTGCACCCACATATAGGCATATACACACAATAAATAAACGTAACTTCAAAAAGATTCTACAGACTCTTTTAATGGAGGCTCAATCAGGTCACAAGGGTAGAGCCTTAATCTAGCTAGCAGTCTCTAGGAGAGGAAAGGGCACCAAGGCCTCACCAACATAGGCAAAAAGGCCACAAGAGAACCTAAAATGAGGCCATCTGCAAGCCAGCAACACCAGGCTCGGAAGAATCCAGCCCTCCTGACATCTCCCCAAACGGTGTGCGGGAACAAAGTCTATTCTTTTAAAGTATGGTCTCTAATTTTGTTTTTCCATGGAGGAGGCACTTCATGTTTTGGGGTATATATAATGGCAACTATCTATCAACTTTAATCTGAGAAGTGTTGTGTAAGCCTTGAATAAATGCACAATAGCTTGTTACATTAAAAAGAGGAAGGAGACCCCCGTTAGGAATATTAAAGTTATACAATTTCTTTTTAGATAGACTTAAATGTGGAGAAACGAGAATCTGGCATTCTGATTTGACTGTATACTGAATTGAACCCTTTCTCTTTGAACAGTTTTCAAGTTAGTTCATCTCTTAATCTGTATCAAGATCCAAACAACATTATACTAAGACAATATAGACATGATAAGAATCTCACTAAAAAAACCCATTAGCTCTTTAAGAGCATACAATAACCTGCAAGTTTTCATATGCAATACCACAATGAAACTTCATTTTGTTTTTCTGTTTAATCTTGATTATTTATTTACGTTTTCTGAGACAGTCTCATTATGTAGCCCTGGCTGGCCTTCAAACTCGAGCAATCCACATGTCTCTGACCCCGAGTACCAGGATTAAAGGCATGTACCACCATGCATGGCTGGCACACTTTTCCGTAGGAATGAGTCCCCAGGCCCCGGGCACACTGGCCATTAGTCCTCTAACTTGGGCCCCTGTTGCTGCTCCCAAGAAAGCTTTTCCAGAGCCCAGGCTGTACTGGCCATCCCTCCCCCGGTCTCGCTGTTTCCACTTCACGGGTCGGATTCAGACAAAGCCCTTTGGAGCAATAACCAGGGAGCTTCTCCCCGCCCCCCGCCCCCATATTCCACACATTGTTGGCTGGAGTTTGCACTAACTACTAAGTAAAACCCACTCACCTCCCTGGTGAACCTTTTCTCGGTTCTTTCAAAGAACATTCAGGGCACAGGTAGTTTTTGTTTTGTTTTGTTTTAAACCTCAAAACAGCTAACTTCACTAGAACTTTCTAGTTTTTCTTCCTACTACTGCATCCTCATTATGTGGATATTTGAGAATTTACACTGGGTCAGACCACCTGGGGAAAAAAAAACATTTCAAAGCTGGAAAACTTCTTTGTCATTACTGATTGTGTCTGCACACATCAGGCATGCTTGTATCTTACAATTAGCCATCCGGCTAAATAAAACCTGTTTACAAATGTGAGCGCATAAGGGTCCTAAATAAGTCTACAATTGACAATATTCAAAATTCAGCTTGTTACAGTCATTACTTTTTACTAAGGGCTCAGAACCTGGTCTGAATTTTGCAGCTCAGTTTCCTCCCTGCAGCTGAGTAGGAGCCACAAATCCGAGGGCGTTGCCCTGGCAACGATCGCTGCCCTGGTCTCTCTGCCCAACCCCCTCCTTCTCGCGAGAAGAGAAAGCTCAGTCCTTCCGGTAACTGTAGTCTTCCTAGCCCGCCGCCGCCGTAGGCTTGACTTCGCGCATGTGCAGTAGGGAGTGGCGCGAGTTCGCGGCTTCCGGCTGAAGAATATGGTGCGTTTTGGGGGGTTGTCTTTGTGCTTCCTGGACGTGGAGTCCACGCGGTCCCCCCGAGTTCCACGCCTGAAGTTGTGCCTGGGTTTCAGCCAGGGGAGGATGTGGCCGGAAGTCCTGCCACTTTAGTGGAAGGGAAGAAAGACACAGAGGATGGCTAAAGTTTGTACAGAGGTGGCCAGGGAGGGAAGGTCTCCGACGGGAGTTTGGCGCGGGGCTGGATGGCGGGAAGGATAGTAGTCTGCGCTGTAGAACACGACTCCCAGGAGCTGCCAGTGTCAGTGATTGCGGAGCTGAGCCTAGCAAGACAAAGGAGACACACTCCCAGTGTGCCAAAACTGAATGCACGTGTTCCCGACTCGCCTGACCCTTCACATGATAGTACCCGCCCACCTCATCAGAAAAGCCTTAAGATTTTGTCACCAAAAGGAGATCCCGGATCTGTATCACTCCGAGGTCAGGGTTAGAGTGTGTCACAGTAATGACAAAAGTTTGTATCTTGTGTCTCTTCATCGAGACCTAGTAACATACTCGAGAGTCCCAGACAAACCGTGAATTCGTGGCAGAGGTAATAGCAAACCATTACATTATGAAACAAGACATTATCATTTATTGCAACCATTAGCTTCTCTGAAATAACCGGCCAGCTCTCTGTTGATTTCTCCGTGGTACCAAAGAAAGTATCATTTTAGGATTCCCTTTTCATATACTTATATTAAAGTGGGGGTGGGGTGGGAAGGAGTGTCAAGGAAGAGGAAAAGTCTGTGGGGTTGTTACTTTACAGCAGACACTTTTGATTTCTTCTGATTAATTCCAGGCTGTTTTGTTTTGCCTTTGAATAGATGCAAGGAGAAGTAGGCCCCAGTGCTTCTCTGATTGACAGAACCATCAAGATGAGGAAAGAAGCAGAAACTAGGAAAGTGGTTTTAGCCTGGGGGCTCCTGAATGTCTCCATGGCTGGAATGATATACACTGAAATGTAAGTTCATCAGCTTGAGAGCGAAACTTCAAACGTTGGCTGCTGCATCTAGGGCTTTTCATATTTCTTTTGGTTTTCAGTGTTTGGTTTGTTTGGGATGGAGTTTTGGGGATATATATATTTTTTTAAGTAACTGAAAAGCATTTCTAATCTTTTCAGGACTGGAAAGTTAATTAGTACATATTATAATGTGACATACTGGCCCCTCTGGTATATTGGTAAGTAATTAATTTTCACTGGAATTTAGATTTGCTAGAAATGAAAACTTGCTTATAAGTTTAATTCGGCTTAGATTCACTCTTTCATTCAGACAAATATTGAGTTACCTACTCTGTTTCCCAAAACAATGAAAACCACAGAGAAGAGACTAGGAAAACACTTTTATGGGAAGAACATTCTAGTAGGAGGCTGAGTCAGGAGGATTATTCAAGTTCGAGGCCAGCCTGAGATAAATAGCAGAACCCTGTCTCAAGAGATGCCAGGAATGGCAGTGAACATCTAATCCCAGTACTTGTGAAATGGAAGAATAATCAGAAGTTGGAGGCCAGCCTGGTACATGAGACCTTGTCTCTAAACAAATAAACCAAGCTAATAAACAATACAAAGTTAGGTAGTTAGGAGTCATAAGAAGGAACATAAAGCATGTGGGTGATAAGATTTACCTGAAATACCCTCTTCGCCTCTTTACCTTCAAGGCCAGACCAGATTAATCCTTAGGACATAAAGAGTCCTAGAGATGTTAAAATACATCTGTAGTCTATGAAAATTGAAATCTATTGTGGAGAGCCGGTGGTGGCACACACCTTTAATCTCAGCATTTGGGAGGAAGAGGCAGGTGGATCTCTGTAAGTCAAAGGCCAGCCTGGTCTACAGAGTCAGTTCCTGGACAGCCAGAGCTACACAATGAAACCCTGTCTCAGAAAAACAAACAAACAAGAAAGAAATCTGTCATGGAGGAATAGAGAAATGACTCGGAGGTTAAGAGCACATATTGCTTTTGCAGAGGACCAGGTTTTGTTGCTGGTACCCACATGGTGACTCACAACTCCAGGTCAGGGGGATCCAACACCCTCTTTGGGCCTCTGTCTATACCAGGCAGGCACATGATGCACATACATACAGACAGGCAAGACACTCATACACATAAAATAACTTTAATTTTTTTAATCTATCAGAGTGGGTGGGGCAGATGGGAAAGGAAGGGATTCAAGATCATCAAGCTATGGTAGAGTCATGGCTGTCTAACTAACTGGGACTCCTAAAACTCACTTGACTATTAAAATGAATGTTCAAATACCTATTGTATCGGTTTATAAGAATTAGTAATTAGTTTAAAACTCACTGGCAAATGCTCTGCACCTACTAGACTTCAGTCAAGTGGTGTCTGTTGTGAGGAAAGAGACTGACTTGTTAATTTTCGATGTTAAGTTGCTGCAAATGGAACCAAGAACTTCCTGCTTTTTACAATAATACATTGGGCCAGGCAGTTGGTGGCACACGACTTTAATCTCAGCACTTGGGAAGCAGAGGCAGGGGGATCTTTGAGCTCCAGGCCTGCCTGGTCTACAAAGTGAGTTCCAAGACAGCCTGAGCTACGCAGAGAAAGCCTGTCTTGAAAAATCAACAAACAAACAAATAAATGGGAGCTGTGGAGGTGACTTACTGGGTACGCCCCTTTCACCAGGCATTATGACCTGAGTTTGGTTCTCCAGAACCAATAGGGTGAAAGAAAAGAACCCCAAGTTGTCCTCTGACCTCCACATCACCCCCACCCCACAAGTAAATAAAAAAATACTTTTAATAATAGTTGTTGTTTTCTTCCAGAACTTGCCCTGGCTTCTCTCTTCAGTCTTAATGCCTTGTTTGATTTTTGGAGATACTTCAAGTATACGGTAGCACCGACAAGTCTGGTGGTTAGCCCCGGGCAGCAAGCGCTGGTAGGGCTGAAAACGGCCGGTGAGTGCCGAGTGGGGGGAGGCAGTACTCCTCCTTCTTGGCTTTCCTTTTCATAGACCCTAGCTAGAAGGCCATCTGTTACATTGAGCCAGTCTCTAGAAAATGGTCATGTGGTTATCTTTGCTATTTGTATGAATTGAGTGGACTATCAGACAGCTTCATGGAACTATGTTATACTGTTTTGAGCATTGTGGAAATGGTAAACAACTGACTAGTTGTGTTTCTATAATAATGCTTCGTGTAATTTACTAGCCAGACCCTTCTGTTAATTTCTTTTGATGTCTCTACATAGCCGTGGCAGTCTAAGCTGGCCTGGCCTCAAATTCAGAGATTCACCTGCCTCTGCCTCCCATCTGTTGGGATTAGAGTGTGCGTCACCACACCTTGCCCTTAAATCTGTTTTCTTTTCTTTCTTTCTTTTTTTTTTTGGTTTTTCGAGACAGGGTTTCTCTGTGTAGCTTTGCGCCTTCCTGGGACTCACTTGGTAGCCCAGGCTGGCCTCGAACTCACAGAGATCTGCCTGCCTCTGCCTCCCGAGTGCTGGGATTAAAGGCGTGCACCACCAATGCCTGGCGAATCTGTTTTCATAATTGTATTTATACTCTAGAGACTGAGTTGGGAAGAGCTTAAGGTCAAGGCTAGCCTGAATTACATAGCAAGCCCTAATTCTTAACTTTGTGTTTTCATCTAAGCATCTACTGTGTGTGTGATTTATGTTCTCTTCCTTCTAGTCGTGCAGACTACACCTCCCCGGGATCTGGCAGCCACCCAAGTCCCTCCCTCGCCACCTTCCCCTTCAATCCAGGGTCAGAGTGTACTGAGTTATAGCCCGTCTCGTTCCCCCAGCCCCAGTCCCAAGTTTGCCGCCAGCTGCATGACTGGGTACAGCCCTCAACTGCAAGGTCTGTCGTCAGGTGGCAGTGGTTCCTATAGCCCTGCTGTGACCTACTCTCCTCTCAGTGGTTATAATAAGGTAATGACTCGTCTTGTTCGGCCAGTAGTGCTATTTCAGACTTGGGAGTTGTGCTCAGATCACCCAGTGAGTCAAACTCTGCATTTGGTTGGTGAGGAAACTGAGGAGCAGTGGTTGTCTGAATCACCCAGTGAGAGCCAGGAACAGAAACCAAGTGTCCTGTCACTCAGCCGAAGTTCTTTAAACAGCATCCGAACATGAGCACTCTTGAAGATGACAAAACATGACCGTCACCAGCTAGTTTCAAGTCTTGAAATAATTTGAAACTTTGGTTTCTTTTATGCATGTTTTCCCTTTTAAAGGTTTTTTTTTTTTGTGTGTGAAAGCTTCTCTTTCTCTTGTAGAATTTTAACACTTTGTATCCTGTCTGATCCTCTTATGTGGTTTAGTTCTGGAGTATGGATGCTTGCTGTGTAGCAGGTAGAAATCTTTAAATTCCGTAGTAATGTCAGTGCTGGTCTAAGCTTTTAGGGTATTACTAGCAAAAGTTGTAGGTTGAAATTTAAATTCTGTAAGGCATAAGGCTGCAAGAAAGGATCAAAAGAGAAGCAGTCTATCAGAAGCTCTGACTGTCATGTTGGGCTAGCATCTCGAGCGACTGGTAAGAAGAAGATGGTCTAGAAGAAAGCAGCAGCCTGTCTCAGCCTGGTCCGTAACACTGTTGTAAAGTGAAATTCCATGCTACTAGTTATCCAGTGTTAGGGAGTAGAATTCTTAAATTTTGTAGAAGTTAAATGCTATGAGAAATGTGTGGTTATAATTCATAACCCACAGGCTAGTATGGATTATTTATTCATTTGTTTATTTTTATCTTATGTGCATGCATGTCTGTGTGAGCATGTTGGATCCCCTGGAACTGGAGTCACAGACAGTTGTGAGCTGCCATGTGGGTGATGGGAATTGAATCTGGGTTCTCTGGAAGAGCAGTCAGTGCTCTTAATCCAC